AGTGTCCAAGTCCTGGCTAAATTTACAGATTTTTTTATCTTTCTTGGCTTCTCCTACCAGAATGGCATTCTACAAAATTTTTATATTTGGGATTAGTACTACTTGCACAGTATCGTGCCCCAAAAAGCAATGCGTCTTTTAGCATACAAAATATACAGTAAAACTTTTTTAGTACAAACGCGGACATTGTGAATTCACCTTAGTTATCTTGGATCCCCAGCTAAATAAATTTAATGAATTCCTTATTTGGATGTAACGCACACAGGCACTTGTTTCTGTTATAAATTTTTGACCCATAGTATAATAATAACACAAGGTATCTAACTCGGATTTACAACAAGTATCCACCTCCCTTAGAATTGCGCTCATTTACACTTTCAGAGGAAATGCATGGGTAAACTGTTTTTACCTATGTCTTTTATGATAATTTATCTACACATTATCAGTTTCAAGACTCTGCTCACCGAGTGGAAAGTGAAACTCAGCCATAGAATGGTATGTTCTAGTCTCAGGCAAAGAATTAGACCTCGAATTTGATTGGCTAAAAATCTGTTTCCAAATTGCATCGAAAAAACATTGTAGTGTTTTTATGGAAAATAGGACACTATGAAATTTTGTTTATTCAATGCAATATTTAAAATCTGGGATTGAATTTTTAAACCCAGGCATTCTTTAATTTTTCTCTTTGCCACGAGATTAGCACATACCGTTTTATGGTTTAGTTCGACTTTTCTACTCGACGAGTAGAGATTTGACGCTGTTTATGGAGATTAAAGAAAACAAAGACAAGCAAGTCATATACGGTTGTGTAGATAAATTATCGTAGATGACACAGGTATTCAACAGTTTGCCACTGCCTTTTCTCTGAAAGTGTAAATGAGCGCGATTCTAAGGGAGGGGGGTACTCCGTGCAATTTGGAGTTAGATACCTTGTGTTATTATTATACTATAGGTTAAAATTTATTCCTGAAACAAGTGCCTGTGATAATGAATTACGGATATAGCGAAGTAATTTCAGAGGTTCCGGCGACTTTGTTATAGCCAAGTTTTACTGTACTTGTTTACAGATTTCAATCATACACCATTTTCGTCAAGAATAAAAAAAATGACAAATTGATTCTTTCTTTCAACAAAGATATTGTTCACAACATCTAATTTTAATAAAAACATTATTGGATACTTGATGAGTATTTTTCATTTTTTCCCCATCACCAATCAGTTTATATAATTGGCTTTTCCGGACAGAAAGCAAATCTAACTCTCTTACTTTCAACCAAAACTTGGACCCAGTGTCTGGTGTAAGGCCAGGTCTTCTGGTTCAATCTTTACAAAGAAATCCTTGGCAATGGTGAACAACTTTTTTCACAATCAGGAACTCCTTATCAAGAGCTGTGATTTCAGACATCATCTTAGACAGGAAAGACAAATGTTCCACAAATTCTTCCACAGATTTAGAATAGTCCTCCAGTTTTTTTTGCTGCACCCTGATAAAAGACATTTCCAAATAATTTAAAAACACTAAATTTCATGTTTTTTTGTGGAGGGGGAGATATTTCCAAATCCTTACCAAATAAAGAATTTCTGAAATTTAGTTGCAAATTCAATCAAATTCTTTTTAAAAATCTAAGAATTGTTTCCTTTTCCTCATTGAATACCTTGATAATAGTAAGCAGATCTTCGTTTCATTTGATGGCTATAATGGGCAGCTTATGGTGGGTCTTGCTGATGATCTCCTGGGGGTAGGGGAGACAGGAGTCCCTGAAGCTAGAGCTTATCACCAGAACCATCGCACATCTCCTCTTCACAGTCATCTTCCGCATCTCCTTTACCTACAGACGTTAAAAGAAAGCTGTTACTTCTACAAATTTAGACTTAAGATTTGAAAAAAAAAGTGCTTTTGCCCAAAAAATGCAAAATACAAGGGCACCGCTGAGCGGAGCATCCCCTCGCCTAATGGCAACATCTCACAAGAGATAAATTCTCCAGAGGGACGTTAAACATGTTAAAGATTGATAGTACAATGTATTTTGTTTATTGTCCCTCTCAGGAATTTTTTGCTCATATGAAGGCTTGCCGGTGGAGAGCTGCACATTCTTTCCTATAATAGGGACTTACGACCATTGAGCAGTGAGGGATCTTTTTGTGCCAGCATTTGTTGGGACATGGGCCTTTAGTTACACGGATTTATTCGAAGGACCAGTCTCCATGTCCCACGAAGGGATTCAAACCCACAACATTAGGACCAACTCCCCTACTTTTGACAAAATTATTAGTGGGTGTGTTGTTGTTGATCCATTTTTACAAAATGCAAAGTGGTTAAGGGGGGGGGGGAGCCATAACATAGATACTTTTAAGCTTTCAAACTGGTTCTTAAATTGGTTCCCTTGCAGAAATGATTATTGTCAACTCGTACATAAAATGTCAGGGTTTCGAGACAGTGAAACGCGATATCTGAAGAAATAATTTAACAATGAACTTGAAAATGAATAGGCTTCATCTTTTTATATTTTCACACAAGTTTGTAAACGCTGAGCGTGGTTAGCAAAGGTTTTCTGTTAATCTTGCCCACAAAGTGTAACGAACACACTAACACACACACACACACATACGCACATTTGCGATGCTATATCCCCTCCGCAACTATTTGCATGAGGGGATAATATCATTCTATGACTGAGATTACCAGCTTAGCAACAAAATATAAAATTATTAATGCATCATAATTCTGAAAATATTTTAAAAATTCTTCTCATGATAAACAGATATTATGCAGAAAGCAGGTCTGACCATTTCTGTGAAGGTTGGTAGAACATGATTGAATTCTTCTGTGGACCACTCATGTCTGGCCATGGATTCATCAATGTCCAAGGCTTTACTCTTGTCCACCACTTCACAGTACTGATCAAAGTTCTGTTGGAGGAAATCATATATTGACATAAAACAGGGATTAATCTAGGGCATATTTACTACCGATAATGGGTGTTTTTCCCCTAGAGAAAATTTCCCCTCAAGGAACTTATTTTCCCCTTTTGATGAGTAAAATATTCCCCTTACAATAATAAAAACCTCAAATATAATTTTTCCTTCCTAAAAACAGAATAGACCCCTTTAATAATATATGCAGACATGCGCACAACTACTTCCGAGTGGATACGAGCGTGAAGCGAACCGCGTCGAAAATGTATAAAAACATGTTTCAGATTTTAACTATAATTTTGTGTTAAATAAATTAACTGTTATATTTTTTTCAAAAAAATATTTTCTTGATATTTTTAAAATTAAGTCGAACTTCCTGTTTATCGTTGCCAAGTTTACATTAGTTACCATGCGCGTCCAACAAGTATGGCGACGCGGGAGCATTTAAAGAAAACAAATATAGGCATTTTGAAAACAATAGCTTTAGATCTGGGTATTGATTGTAAGAAGAAGAAAAAAGATGACCTGATTTGCGATATTCTTGCAAGCAGCACAAGTACAGATGCCCTGTGTCCCACTGTTGAGGTATTTTCTTCCTCTGATCCTACACTTACGCAGTTCAAAGAAAACTTGCCACCATTCAACAAAGTTTCTTACCAGCTGATAGGTCCATCAAGTCATGTGAAACCACCTGCCCTTTCTTTTTCCTCTTTGTATGAGTTTATGATCTCAAGGACAAGGCAGGGAGGTCAGAGTGTTCAAAACTTTAAAGGACTGGACAAGTCTCTGAAACATTTTGATGCAGGGGACATCCAAGAATTAAGTATTGCCAACGTAAGTAATACTGATTCTTTAGATTTATTAAGTGATTTTGTCCTTTTTATTTCAATAATATATTATATATATATGTATTATCTTCAGCTACAACCAATACAGTATTAATAATAATTTCATTGTATTTAGACTGTTACATTGTGTTTTAGATTGATGACACAACAGTCTATGTCAAGGCCTTTTGCTTGGCATCTATGAAAAAGCAGAGGTATCAGGTTTATCTTTGCATGACAAACATTGGCAGCACACACAAAGTGGACTTTGCATATTGCCAGTGCCCCATTGGGTAAGTATTTTAAGTGTTACACTTAAGCTAGGAGAATGGTCAAAAGTTCAGTGTTTGACAAAATACTACATAGTTTTCATCAAGACACCCTCCCATCCTCCTCAAAACTAAATTGTTGATTGAAATTTAATTATTTAACAAATACTGATATATTATAACACTGTTAATAGCTTTTATTTCTCTTTTTTATTGATAAAAAACATTTCAAATACCAGTTAAAAAACACATTAAATCTCTGAGTATTAAATTTTGTTGCACAAGAATTTTTGGGGCTCTTGATTCCCCCACCCTAAACTATTTGAATAGTTTTTTTATCTGACACTGATCTTTTGATTTCTCCATTTTAGCAACTCTAATTAATTGTTAAACTTTTATACACTTTAGAATAATTAAATTTAAAAAGTTTTTTTTTCATCATCATTTTACTATAGGTTAGCTCAAGCCTGCAGCCATGTTGGTGGGTTGCTTTTTGCAATATGCAATGGCATCTTTACGACATCCCAGAGCTGTACTTCAACACTTTGCACGTGGAAGATGCCGAGGTCGGTCAACCAGAAACCAACCCCACTTAGCAATCTAAATCTGTCAAAGCCTCGTGCCCAAATAGAAAAGATAAGTGAGGACAATGTTGCAGCAACCGCTTCTCTATCACATGGCTCTGCGATGGCGAAGTTTGACCCTCGCCATTCAGAGGATAAGAAGAATGACATCGACTGGTCATTGCAGCAACTTTCAGAATTAAAAGTCATTTTTCCTCAAACAGGTATTGATTGAAAAATTGAAACACAACTTTCCTTGTTTTAAAAACAGATTGCTCATGTTCTAAGCCTTTTAATTCAAATCATATTGCAAGTTCATATTTATTGATATGATGAACAGGCATAATTGTATGAGACATGAAATTATTAAAGTGATAGTGATATAATTTACAAGTTTAAAAAAAAAAATCTAAATTTTGGTCTTGGTAAAAAAAACACAATAAAATCATAAAAATTTGTTTGAAATATTTAGGTATGGCACATCTGTGGAATGTTCCTGACTCTGGAGCACCGACTGCAGTGTACAATGAAATGGAGGTGGAAACATCGGTCCATCCACTTCACCTGAAAATGGAAAAAATGGTATTCTCTGAAAACAATGGTGAGTCATGAAATATACTCATTTATAAACAGTACAATGATAACCATACAGAATACAGATGATAGTAAAAAAAACAAGTTACATTCAGTGTAATCATCAATTCTAAGTTATCTTAATAAGGGCATTTTTGTGCAATTTTGCAGTCCCACCACCTATGATTGACCAAGACTTAGTAAACTACATTGAAGAACACACAAGAGCACAAAGACTTAGTGATCTATGGAAAAAGCTTCATCTTGGACGGATCACAAGCTCGATCTTTGGTGATGTTCTTCAATCAGGAGACAAACCTACATCCCTAATCCAACAGATTTTGTATGGATCAAATCTAAACAAGTAATTTAATTTGTTTTTTTAACTTTCTAAATACATGTAGCACATTGCATCACAAAACTAACATCAACTTTTTTTTAGATAAAAGGATTAAATACTTTTTGTAAATGCTGATTATTAATCAACAGAAGTTCAGAAACCAGTTTCTACAATTTCAGATACTCTAGGTTACCTCTCGCAGTGCAGTGGGGAATTGACCATGAGATGGATGCAAAAGAAGACTACCTACAGATCAAAAGAGCTATTCAAATGGAAACTGACGTACAGACATCTGGTCTTACTTTATGCTCGACACATTCTTTTCTAGGGGCTACCAGTGATGGGAGAGTGGTTGATAATGAAAGCACTGGACTGCTAGAAATTAAATGTCCCTTCTCCATCTCAGGACAAAATGTAACACTGTTGGGAATATCTGATATCATTTCAATGAATTCAAAACAGTTTTGTCTTGAACTCGGTGAATTGGGCCCAACATTAAAGAAATCACATAAATACTATGCACAGGTTCAGGGTGAGATGGCCATCATTGGGCTTCCTTGGGTGGACTTTGTGGTATGGACGGCAGCCAAGTCAGACAACATTTTCATCGAGAGAATTTACTTCGATGAACAATACGTAAAAGACATGCTACCCAAATTAGTCGAATTTTACATGAGGCATATTTTTCCACTCTTGTAAAATTTTTGAAATACATGTATATGTGTATTCAATTTGAAATTACTAAACTTTAATGTAAATTGTAAAATATATTTGTTTGGTAAAATATTGTTTTTCAGTACTTACTCAAGACTCTTCTGTAGTTGGTTTCTTTCCATCAACAATCGGGAAATCCAAATTTGTTAACCAACAACAAACTTGAAAAATTTTGCTTATGAGAGGCACAATACTAAGGGGGATCACTCCTTCCAAAATGTGGAAATTCTTTACCCGTCCAATACTCCTTTCCACATGAATACGGAGCTGTGCAATTTCTTGCGTCCTGTAGACATCATCAGTAGAAAATTGATTCACATTACCTAAAATAAAAAGGAAGATTTTCTGACATGCAGGACTGGAGATGTATTAGTTGAATTACATATTTTTTTTATTTAATTTCCTAAAAATGCATGGTTCTAAATTTTATTGTCAGACTTTGTCATTAAGTGAAGAAAAAAAAACTATTTTGATCATTTCGGAAATAATCTGTCCTTCACCGATATGACGCCCCCCTCTTCCCTATACAAATTGTCATCTTCTTATTCTAACATAATAATACTGCTACAACTTCAGTAAAGAAAATATACATCATAAAAAAAAATAAGTGTCACAATCATGGCTACTTGAAGATTCGCTAGCACTACAATAGATATTGCATGGGGTACATAAGACCTACTGAATGTTACTGAATAAAATAAAAATACTATCTTAGCACTTTCAAATTTGCCCTCAGCCTCAGTCAATATGTGTTAAATCTAATAATATATATACATGTTTATACATACTATTAATTTCAAACTAATTGCATCATACCTCTGAATGGTGGGATGTTTAGAAAACACTGCTGTTTTTCCAACAAATCGGCAATTGTGAATCCCTTGTCAGCCATCACACTGTCACCTGGCTCAAGCAAACTGATCAGCCCACAATTCTCTGTTAGTTGACGATCTGATGTTTTCCCCGGCCATCCCTCAGAAACAAATGTGATGACACCGGAGGGGCTAATGCCAACCAAAAATTTGACAGTGGTATGGTGTTTATAACTAGAGAATGTCAAACTTTGATTTAAAAGGCTACTTGAACTTTGAATAAACAGTTCAGTGCAATCAATAATAACTCTAGTTGATGGATACTTTACTTTAAATGATTCTGGCATGGTCCTGTTGATGATGTCTTTGCTTGGGAAGGGATTTAGAAACTTAAGTTCAGCATGTAGTAAACTAATCCAAGTGGTAAAGATCATGGAAAATGAGGCACAACTGATTTGAAATCTTTCTGCAATATCTTGGATGTAAAGACCTACTTTCAATCTCATTAGAACTGCAAAAAACTGATCAATGGGGCTGAGATATGATGAAGACATCCGCACTCTATCTGTAGATGTAGTTTGGCCTTGTCCCCTCCAATAGTTCATCCTTGAGCATTTAGGTGCAAGGTAGCTGCAATGATTAATAATTCAATAAATCATTTAAATATTTAATAAAGTAAATTGCTGACATAATATGCATTTAGCAAGCCTACTCTAAAAAAGTTTTCTGGCTAAAATATTTTTTAAATAGATTATTAGATACAAACAGAAAAAATGAGGACAAATTATCTTATTAAATTTTAAATTGAATTTAGAAATTATATAACTTTTATAATGGCAATTTTTTGAAAAGTAGCTCATTTTAAAAATAACTAGTCACTTAATGATCAGTATGACCACTAAGCCCTGCATGAAGTTGGATACTCAAACATTGTTGACATTCCTACTTGTTTCTAAGGCCATCAGTAAAATATTTTTGTTTTATGTACTCTGATCCACATTTTTCAAGGTGGGTATAGGTAGGTTTTGTTTGTTTGTTATTGTTGTTTTTTTTTTGCAGTATCTAACAATTTATTGTCAAATACCCAAAGACTTTTTTTAAGCGGGGGGGGGGGGGGGGGGGTATATAGTAATCATATTTATTGATGTTTTCTTGATACTCTGGATAAGACAGATTTAATATTCATTGCTTTAAAAATGTTCTGTCAAAGCACGAAAAAAGCATCTTAAGGAAATTGTAAATCCTCTTTAGATTGAAACAATCTTTATTTTCCTGAAAACCAATCCCCCACCCACCCCCCCACCCCAAAAAAAAACAACTAAATTTAAAGTACTGAAAACAAGGATTGGGTAGGGGCGATTTTGACGGGAAGGTCGGAGTACATCAAACAAATCATTTTTTATTGTTGGCCTTTAAATATTTTCTTTTACTTGAACAGCCACAAAAAGATGGCAAATGACGGTAATCCTGTGTAGAACTTTGTCATTCCATCGTCATCTTTGATGCGTTCCACACCCCACTTATGCTTGCCAAGTTCCGCTCTTAGTCGACTGACCTCTTGTCTTAGCTCCCTGTTTTCATGAAGTAGGGGGTCTTCTTCACACTGTACACCTAGGATTTGTTATTATGTAACTATAAATATTGCAGCAATATTCATCCTATGTAATATATTATATTTTCATTTGGAATTACATAAATTTACTTGTATTATTGAGGGTATATACATGTATACTAAAAAAATGTTCATCTCACAAAAACTCAAATGTCAATTGATGACCATTTATAAGTTATCTATGTATTCAAATTAATGATTATACCATTTAGATGTTACAAATGTATAGTGGTAGTCTCACTTGAATCAGATGTGAGATGAATGTTAACATCATCTGTTGTGATGGCACAAAGATCTTCATGATCGATATCTACAGCCTCTTCTACTCTACAGTATGATCCATGGGCCAGCAGCGAAAAATGAAGGCTTGCCATCTCCCTCTCTTTCGAGATAACCTCCTTGTACTGTTCTTCCTATTAAATGAATATTTTCTATATTCATATATATTATCAATATTTTAAATGCACAAGCAACAAAATAGACTATTAAACATTAGAATATTCAATAAATAGTACTTACTATTTATTATATTACATAAACACACCAATTATTCAGTTTGCTATTTATAGTGGTGTAAATTTGTTTCTGCAACACTTGATTCTTACATTTTGATATTTGACCCCCCCCCCCCATTATTAAGCATTTAATTAAAACATTATAATTTTGAATAGATAAACTATTTTATTCAACAAATTTACATAATATTAGTAAAACTTTATTGTAGGTATTTGTAATTTGTATTGGTAACTTGATACACACAAAAACGGGTACCTCACGCCCACCCCAACCCCCAAACAACCCCTTTTCACTGTGACGAAAAAAGATTATATAATATGTAGGCTATAGTTTCTGAATTTATGTCAGTGCCTATAATTTATCATACAGTACAGTATCTACACTTCAATTTATATGTACCTTAATATATTTATTGATAAGACTTTTTATTTATGTGGAGTATATAAAAATTGATCACATATACGATAAATATTGCCGGTGTAGGCCTGATTTATCATGTATTAAGACTAAATTTACCTTTGTTGATTCACGTTCTAATCTCCTTTTTTCCCTTTTAACGTCTTCATCCGATCTAATGTCTTTATAAGCAAACAAAGTGGGGGCGTAATTATCATCACTGGGATCATCTCCGTGCCATCCATGCAAAAAATGCTCGGAACAGATCCAACTGTGGTCGCCTGGTTCCCACTTATCCCTGTTGACTGCTTTGATCCACACTCTTCGCTTTCGCTTATTCTTTGGGAAACGGAAGAAACTAACCCCTCTCGATCTAGCATCGGCATTATAGACATTCATACATTTGTAAACACAGCAATTTTTAACCATGATTTCGGAATTTCCGCCTTGTCGCTACAGACGCTGTATCCACTCGGAAGTGTTTATGCGCATGCGCCATTGCTGCGGGACAGATTCATTAAATGAGCTTATTTAAAGTAAAAAATTTTCTGTATGTGAGAAAAATGGTTTTACTTTGCTACTTTATGTGCTTTAAATGATAGTAAAAATGCTGAAATTCAATTACCCCCCAAGCAGGGCTGGCCCTGCACTCTCTCGAGTGGTTCCTAGACCCCGGCTAATTTTCCCAATTTCTCCAGAAAGGGTAGTTTCCCCAAAAACCTAGATTAATCCCTGTAAAATTATCTAAGGATACATGTAGATAAAGAATATAAATTTGAAACAATGTATTTTTCAAAATCTGCATAACATGTTCCATCAATGTTATATTAATTTTGAAATGATTAAACCTTATTCTCAAGTCAATCTTAATAAAACCACATTCCAGTCATTTTGTATATCAAACTTACATGAGAGAACTGTTTAACTTGCTCCAGCTGCATTGCCATGTATGAGCCAAGGTCAGTCAGATATTTTTGGTATTCTGGGTCATCACCAAACAGATTTTCAAGGTCAGGCCAAGGTCGCTGGTATTCCATTCGGTCTTTTTCTTCTTCCTGGTCAAATTTCAATCTAAGGTCATGGGAAGGTGGGGAATAAATTTTGGCTCTCTTAACTTGGACACAACTTGATCTAAAATGAAAGGAATAATATTGGCTCATCATGTATAGAAAAGGAAAAAATTGGTTTTCTTGGTGTCTTTGAGATAAATATTAAACTTTTAGTATTTTATCAAGGTTATGAATTTGTAGGCCCATTTATACCCCCCCCCCCCCCAACTCAAAAAGTGATTTCACAGTAACTGCAGTATTTATATAAAAGGCATGCACAACTTTCCTTGGGGAAGTAAATTTACATTGAGTATAACTATTACAGGCCGCTGTTTACCTTTTCTCCTGCTCTGGGTAGGTGTACTCCTCACCAGGAGTTCTGTCCTCATCCTCTGACTCCTCAGTCTCAGAGCTGTCCCTCCTGTGGTCCTGCTCCTCACCCGAGTCCTCAGAATCACTCTCCTCAGACTCTGACTCTACAAAGTCAAACTTTACTGGATAAAATCACAATTAAGTCTTGAACATGGATATCTCAGTACTATGGATAGGTTAAAGGAGTTAAATACCCAACAAATTTTTCGATAGGTATTTCAACCTTGATAGCTTGAGTCCTGGCATATATTGAAGTTTTTGTCTTGACCCCATTAAGTTTGGTCTGAGATAACACGAATTGCCTGCATTTTGCAAGTTACCCTTAAATTGTTCATAAATTGCTTAAAATCCTAGTTTCCTTGTAATATTTAAAGGATACATTTTCAAGACATTAATAAAATGTTTTCTGAAACTGAAACTCAGAAAAATATTTCCATTCTAACCTGAAGTCTCATGAATATCTTGAAACTGGACAGTTTTTCTAGTGGAAGCAGAGTCTGTTAACTTGTCTGGAGAGTAGGACTTTCCTTGTCTGTGTTTCTTTCTCTCCTCTTTCTGGGGTTTTTCGTCCCCGGGACATTTAGCACCGCTGTATGCTACAGACTGAGGCTATTATTTCCTCTACCACGTCCTTCTGCCTGATTTCCTCCGACAACTGTTAGAGAAATGGGTGTCATCATGAAATAATTAAGCGATTGAAAGGAAATTGACACTTTACTTCTAGATTTAAGGACCCTCCCCCTTTACTTTTGTTTTGATATCACTTGACTTAGCAAACATTCCAAAACATTTTAACAACTATTCACAATTCCATAAATTATATTCTAGTATTTCATTCTCTCATTCACTAACACGGAATTTATTTTAAACATTGCAAGGACTAAATTAAATAATCAACCCATTAAAAATGATACAACCATTTTCCATATATAATGATTTGTTTAATCTTTACATCTGCATGAGCATTAAAGGCCAAATATGATTGAGATATAACACTGAATGTTATAATTCCAAAATAAAGCTTACCTCATCTACATCCGGTGGTCCCTCTACAATTTCTGATTGATCAAAGTCAAAATACGGGATCTTGTAGGGGGTGTCTGCCTTGGGTGGGGGCGGGACCTTAGGTTTACTGCTGGTTTGACTGTGACTTGCCGCAGTCATATGCCTGAAAAGAATATTTCTTACAATTAAAGCAAATTTCTATTGTGGCCTCTTTTTCAATTTTCTCCCAAAACATCTCAAATTTTGGTTAGGGTAATAATCTGACTTGTCCTCATTATTTTTCAAGTGGTGGTATCTCCATTTGAATGAAAAATTTCTTGGAGGAAGTTTAACAACAAACAAACAAATGACATAACAAGAGGCCCAAGGGCCTTGAATCGCTCTTCTGATAAATTGTACAATCTATCACTTCTATTAGAAGCCTCCAACTCTATTAGTATCATAAGACCCGAAATGCATTAACTTACAAAGTTTGATAATATTTAGCCAGTTAAGACTGAAGATATTATAATATAATTATAAAATACCATAAGTAGGTCACAGTGACCTACCTTTTGATTGAAATTTTCTGAGAACTCAAGATACAGTAATTGACAAAGACTGATGATTCTAATTAAATAAGTACCTGAGATATTCAAAAGTAGGTCACCATGACCTACTTTTTGGTCAACATTCTCTGAAAAACCAAGATGCATCATCTGACAAAGTTTGACGATTCTAAGCCAATTAGTACCAGAGATAATTAAATATAGCCATCAAATGTCAAAAGTAGGTCAGTGACCTACTTTTTGGTCTACATTATCCAAAACCCAAGATGCCTAAACTGACAAAATTTGATGATTCTAAGCCAATAAGTACCTGAGATATTCAAAAGTAGGTCACTGTGGCATTCAATGAAACCCTAAGATGCCTCACGCAGCTATGATAAGGCTGCCCGTAAAGTATCGAACTGTTCAAACTGTAGTAACTTCTCTGAACTACCTAGATATGACGTCATAATAGAATATGACGTCAAGTCACTGCATACTTGAGCTACAATAACGGGGAAAGTGTCATAATTTTTATATAGCATGTAGATTTATTTTTGGGACTTATTGTTTAATTCAAGTGTTAGGATTGATTTTTAAGCTCGAGTGTGCGGATATGATGTTGAATATATGAAATCTAAATATGCCTATTCCTTTTGCTTGTCTGATATGCACATAATTAATTAATAGCGAAAAATTATGTGTGAAATGCTCCCCTTATACATCCGTAGACAGAGTTAGAATTTATGAATCGTGTTTATATTGGACTGGCACAAGTGATAAACAAGGACAAATTGAAGATATTCTGTTTGAATCTACAAGAGATTTTTGTACTCTAACTGAATTTTGCTGGGGGATTGTGTGTAGTTTTTCCATTTTTGTATAAATTGCGATAAAGAGTGGAAAATGCCCCTTCTGTAGGTAAGTTGAATTTCTCATAAAATATTTTCTTAACGAGTAAAAAAATTTAACCTGCCCCCTGCACTTTCTATGTCCCAGAGATCACGATGAATTGATCTATGTAACAAACTTTGCATAATATTTTCTCACATAATATTGCATAATATTTTTCACTTGTGCCGAAGCGCTTTTTGTGAAAGAATTAGGAATATCATAAATCTATGTCACGTGATCAACATAGTCATGTGACATCACAAAAATGCTTGAAAGTAAAACATGTTTCAACTATTATCTCAGGTTGACTGTAATTAAAAACAAGGAATATATGATCTCGAAAATTTAAAAAGTAAAATATATTTTTTTCTTCTATATAACTAAGCAAATTTACTCCTTATCTCTCGAACTGCAAAGTTCTGATGATCTCTCAACCAAACCATGGGTCCCGTTACACATATTTCAAATTTTATATCTCTCGAAGTTTTGATTTCGTGTGTTTACAAAATCAAGCGTAAAATTGATGCAGCCTGAACTTACCTTGAACACCTGGGGCTTGGCATTGAGGTGTTAATTGGGTGTTTACATTGATGACACTTCACCTGTGGGTAGTCCGTGTGTTGATATAATTGATTATTATTGGTAAATTTTAATTAAACTGTTTTTAAATTCATAACTTTATATTTTGATTCTAAAACGAGACGATAATTTTTAGAAAATAATTTAGAGTCGAATCTATAAGTTCCCATCGGCTATGAACTTTTAATAGCAGGCGCGTAGCATCGTTTTTGGAAGTGGGGGGCCAACCTGAGAAAATTTTTTTTTACTTACCTGAAAAAGTTGACAAGCAAAAAAAAAAACGGAGAAAAAACGTTCCCCGAACTTGTTTTTGGGGGGGGGGGGGTATGAACTTTTTTCAAGACCAACTATCTTTCAATTCAAACTTTTTGAATATTTTCTTTATAACACTACCCTTTGCTGAAATGTGGGGGGCCAACCTTCCTTTCAGTAAACATTTTCTATAGTAAAGGTAATGTCGGCAGAAAAAGTGGGGGGGCCTGGCCCCCCCTGATACTACGCCCCTGTAATAGAGTCTTCATAATCCCAGTATGGAAAATAGTGCACAAGAAATTCCTTTCTCAAGTCTAAATACCGATTAATAAGAAAAAATCTTGTGAATACTGCCTTCCTGGTGAACAAGTGAAGGACCCGATCAAGCCGCGGAATAGTCAAACTGACAATTACTGTTCGGATTTCATGTAATCATTAAATAAGAACAATTAAATAAGTATTGAAACTTTAGGAATTCGTTTTATTTAGTCGAAATACGATTATTGTTGTTGATATCAAGTAAAATATTACCTGTAAAATACGATAGAAAACGTGCAATTTATTTATTTACATATACTTCCGGTATCTATAAACGTAGAACTTCGACGATCAGAACTGAAAATTCCGGATTTTATTTACTTTCTATCTCTCGAACCCCTCGATCTCTCGAACTTTTCTTGCGGTCCCTTGAACTTCGAGAGATTGAGAGTCACCTGTATATATTAAAATTTAATTCTAGCTCAAAATAAAATATATATTTTTTAGGCATTTTAAACCTTCGGACAGCCTTATCATAACTGCGCAACTGACAAAGTTTGATGATTCCAAGCCAATAAGTACCAGATATA